CTTTCACTGGGAGCTGCAATCCTGAGCTGTTCCTAAACGGCCATCTTGGATCCACCTCCTTATTTAGTTTTATTTAAAAATACTTAAAAAAATTTTTTTTGAATAGATAAATCAAGTTCATTGTCAAAAATCAGTGAGTGTAATTGCTGGTGGGACTGTAAATTAGTACAACCTCTGTGGAAAACAGTGTGAAGATTTCTCAAAGAACTAAACATTCTACCCTTTGGCCTAGCAATCCCACTTCTGGGCATCTCCCCAAAGGAAAAAAAGCCATTATAGCAAAAAGACACCTGCACATGTATGTTTATTGTAGTGCAATTCACAACTGCAAAGATATGGAACCAACCTGAGAGCCCATCAATTGATGAATGGATAAAGAAAATGTGGTACACACACACACACACACACACACACACACACATACACACACACCCCATGGAATACTATTCAGCCACAAAAAGAAAATAATGTCTTTTGCAGCAAATAATAATTGTTCTCACTTACAGATGGGAGCTAAGCTATGGAAACACAATAGACATTGGAGACTCAGAAAGGCAAAAGGTAGAAGGGGGGTGAGGGATGAAAAATTACATATTGGGTACAATGTACACTACTTGGGTGATGGTGTACTAAAGTCTTAGACTTTGCCACTATACAATTCGTCCAAGTAACCAAAAACTTGTATTCCAAAAGCTATTGAAATAAATTAATAAACATATAAATATATATGTATATGTGTGTGTACATATATACATACACATGTATATATCAGCAAGTATAAAAGTGTATACACAGAATGACTCTTGCTGACCCCTTGTCCCCAGTCACCAAGTTTTCCTCCCAAGAAAAAACCACCGTCATTTACTTCTTCGACGTTCTTCCAGAAATTTGTTATAGTTCTTTAAGCAAATGATATTAGGCATGTTAGCAAGAACATTTAAAAAAATCTTTTTTAGCAGAAGAGATCTGAGGCTAAATCAATGGTGTAGGGTTGAACAGCTGAATTATCTTGCTGTAGCTTGGAGAACTCAGTGTATCCTTAGTTATGCAATTTATAGTAGTCAACAAAAGCAAGGAAGAAAAAATACACAAGACAAGGCCAACATGAAACTAATTACAAGGACAGCAGTTAGCATCTATAAATCACTACGCAGATAACAAAAAAATTTCAGTGCAACCAGCTGGCTAGGAAAATCCTTATGTTTCCCATGTATGTGAGGTTTATTATATATTAT